ACGCCACTGGAATGAGCCCTGTAATTTCTACTCAGTAATTATACCTGTCACCACTTCCGACAGAGCAGATATAAATAGCCAGTTATCTTACTTTTTTCTGCTTTTCTTTGTATTTGTCTTTCTCCAGCACAGACTCGGGTGGCTGATGCTAACTAATATCCATACACGACACAAAGCATTCACAGAAAGTGCGCTGCTAGACATTAGACCGGTGTTCCAAAAGCCACATGCCATGGGTTGGGAGAATCTCATTTGCCCACAGAACGCTGGTCTCGAAGATTTATGACAGGTGACAGGGAGAGACAGGCAGCAAAAGAAGGGGTTTTGCTTTCCAGTTCTATTTTCATTTCACTCCCACTAGGGATGCGCACGTGCACGCAAGCCTGCTGTGCTGTGTGTGTTAATACACCCACGTACCTGGTCTCCTCTGTGCCCAGTGACTCACTGGGAGGAAGTCAGGGCTTCTGGGAGGCTCATTAACCCTTCTGCGTCTCGGAAAAGCCGTAACAGGATGTCGCTGTCCTCAGGACTGCACACAACAGAAATATGCCAAGAAGTGTTCCTTATGATGATGGTTATTCCTTTTGCTGGTAATAACACCGTTTCACAGTTGTATAGGGCTTTTATTTGTTCTCCAAAGGGATTTGACATCAATTATTTTGGAACCTTCCCACAAGAATAAATGTGTTACAAGGGAAAGGAGGTGGATGTTGAAGTCAGACATTCCAGCATTGAAATTTCTGCTTTTCTACTTGCTTCCTGTATGGACCTTGGGTGAAATAATGTTTCTGACTCTTACTCTTCAAATCTATAAAATGGGCAGAGTAATAATGCTCCACCTTAGGGAATTTCTCTTGGCGAATTCTATCAGGTAACATTGTACATATTTCTACTATTATCTGTCAAGTTATTTCTGACTCACCCAGAGGGCTTGTGAAAACTCACTCATGGGCACATCCCCATTAGTTTTTGACATGGTAAATCCGGGGTGAGGCCTGAGAATTTGCACTTTTCTAATTAGTTCCCAGATGCTGCTGAGGCTGTGAAGACCACGCTGTGAAAATCTGGGATTGGCAATCCCTCAATGCATGTTAGGTTTTCTTGTTTTATGCCTTCAATACAAATTAACTGTTAAACACTCTCCCTGTTTCATGCAATGCACTTGATACAAAGAAGAATAAGACAGATATGTCTCTTCTTTTATAAAACATACTCTAATGGAGAAGACAAACTTCTCCGCCCCCGGCCCCCAACCTCAACTTAAAAAAAAAAAAAAAAAACAACAACAAAGGCATATTCCAGGAATTTAGAGCAAGGCAGTAAGGGTTGAGTGACAGGAGAGGCAGGAGAAATGCAGACACTCACCACAGCAATGATCTCGTTTGTAAACTGTGAATTATGCTCACATGACTATCCAGAGATGAATGTTTTGTGGGGTCTTCAGCTTATATATTTGGGGGATTCATTTTATGAAAATAGGTACAGAATTATGAGCAGGAGATTAGGGATGGAACTATGGAATGGGACCATACAAGAGACGGGACTTGAAACCTTAATTAGCTCCGTTAGATTCTTGCACACCCTCCTCTATGCACATCCTAAAATGGATGTACAACTGGGATCCCTAGTATCAGGGAGTCTCTGCATAACTCCAAGTTTGATCTGAAGTACCTGACCTATAGCTAAGAGCACCTGAAAAGAATCAGAGAAATGATGCGGGAAACCAAGGGAAAGGGGACCTTGGTTGTTACAAGGGGGCAGGTGCTACTGGCATCTAATGGGTGGAGATCAGAGATGCTGTCAAACACCTTACAACACATAGGACACCCCCCCCCCCCCCCCATCCTCCCGCTACAAAGACTTATCCCACCCTAAATGTCAGTAGTGCTGAAGTTGAGAAACCTGTCATAGGGCAGGGATGCTCTCCAGGTAGGAGACCCAAGTAGGAGATGACTGAGGCTCTACTAATTTTGAGTAGCACATCCCTCCTTTCCCCTTCTACATGGCCTTTGGCTCCTCTCAGCCCTCTCTGGAACTTTACTGCAGGCTCTTCTGTGGCTGGACCCTCACTGTGCTCAGGTCTCTGCCTAGGGGGTCCCCTTCTTGGATGCTTTCCCTCACCACCCACCAATCTAAACTTGCCTCTCCTGTTTCTGTACCTCCTAATCACTTTCCCTGCTTTCTTTTCCTTCTAAGCCTTTACAACCTGGCATAGCATATTATTTGATTATTTAGTGTTCATGTCCCTCTTTTAAATGTTAGTCTCATCAAGGTAAGGACTTTGTCTCATTCATTTCTCCAATCTGGGAACCTTGTAGGATTGTTGGCACACACTGGGTGTTTAGTAAATTATCTACTGAATGGATGGAGAAAAAAAGTTTTATTGATGTGCCAGGGCTGTTGAGTAAGTGCTCAGGGATACAGTGTATTGTTATTAACATTGTAATCAGGATTACTGTGTCCTACTTAGACTGCAATGTGATACTGACCAGCGGATTCTCATTATCTCAGCCTTGGGAAAGGCGCTGATACTCCCTCCCTGAGCCCTGTGGCTTGGCACCAGCCTTGCATTTTTCAGTGCCTGCTTTGAGAATGAAGCTGACAGGCTCTGAAGGGACTGCCATCTATCACTCAGTCCTTCCATCATCCGCTCTGCAAATGACAACCTCTGACAGGAAAGTAGGGGGAGCTGATTCAGAATTAATGCCCTGCATCTGGAGAGAGGCATGTTAAGACAGCAAATATTCTGAGAGCAAATCCAGACTGTCAGATCAAGGACAGAGAAGCAAGCCCAGATGCCCTGGCTGAGCTTGACTTTGCACCTGGATAAGGCACTCAAGTAAATGCAACTTGGATTTTTTTGTCTATTTGTTTTTTTTTTTTTTTTAATTGGTAGAAGGGACAGATAACCCTGGGAATGGAAAATTGCCCAGATGGCCTATTTAGACATGATGCTGAGCAATGTGTGAAATGAACAAAGAAAGGAATCAATGTCATTTATTCAGCATTTACCGAGGGCTTGTCATTTACCAGGTCCTGTAAAGGAAGTCTTGTTGTCATTTCCAGCAATGAGGAAAATGCAGCCCAGAGAAACGTGATAACTTGCCCAAGGGAAATCAACCAGTAAGGGGCTATTCCTCAGACACTGAAGTTCATTCCTCCTTCAAAACCTTTGCACATGCTGTTCCTTCTGTTTGATCCCCTCTTCCTTCAAGTCTTTGTGTGACTGGCTGCTTCTGTTGTGAAAGAGTCAGCTCAGGGTCACCTCCTCTTGGAGACCCTGCTTGATCACATTATTCAAGGTCACCTTGACCTTTATTCTGTCACATGACTTTGCTTTAGTCTTTCTGTCACTATTTGAAATGACCTAATATAATCTTATCTAAGTATCATCCATCCATCCATCCATCCATCCATCCATCCATCCATCCATCCTTTGTCTTCCCCAAATAGTGTAGCCTCGCCTAAAGCAGGGCCTTCTCAGTTTTGTTCACAGTTTCCAGCACTCAGACCAGGACCAGCACATAGGAGTTGTGTAAATATTTACTGAATGAAGAAATTGGTGGTGAAGGGCCCCCAACCAGCTATGTCTGACACTGAACCCTACATTCCTTAGCACTAATTGTCCAGTCTCCTGAAGAGCTTGGTTAATGCCCTGATCCAGTATGAACTGAACTGACCTTACAGTAGGCACTTTATCCTGGCTTCGGTTTGCCCTTCTTCACTCTTCCAGATTCAGAGGGTAGTTCCAAGATGCCAGCAAGTTAATGCTTCAAAATTTTATTTTCGCTAAATATCAAACACTGTACATTGTAAGACATTAAAGTATTACCTGCTAAATAGTGTGTAGGGCTTAGATAGTTATGAGTTGAAATTCTGATTTCACTGTTTACCAATGTGATTTTTGGAAACTTTCTGAACTGCTTTGATATTAGGTGTCTCATCTGTGAGAGATAAGGATGCTTTAAAAGGTGGTTGTGGAGATTATTTGATGTGCCATATAAGAGATACAGAGAAATTCCTTGGACCTGGGAAACATTTAACAAATGCAAATTTCTTTCTTGCTTTAATAGAATCAAGCAATAATGGCTTGGTCAGTGTCAGAGCCCTGAGGACTCACTGAAGTGTATGTATATCCAAAAGCTAATCCTTCTGCCTGGAGCAAACCGTGGTAGAAAAGATTGGGGGGAGGGAGATGGTTAAAAGAGTGTATTAGCAATACTATTAAGCATCTACTGTGTGCCCAGCCTTATAATGAATGAGACACAATCTCCAAATCTAATAAGGAGACAGGTGTGTACACAGTGTCTTCTTTTATTCTTTCATCTTTGTTACTATTTTTGTTTATTTTTTCCTCCCTTCCTCCTTCCTTCCTTCCCTCCCTCCCTCTCCACACTTCACCCCATCCTTTCTCCCCTCCCTCCCTTTCCCCCTTCCTTCCTTCCTTCCTTCCTTCCTTCCTTCCTTCCTTCCACTGACCTGGAATATTTTCCCAGGAGATTTTTCCTATCACCCAACACGATCATTTAAAAATACCTCCACAGCACATTTTAATAACACCGAACTTTGAAACTTAGGACACCATGGTGAACTCTCAGAGAGAAACCAGTGAGATGTAATAAAGTAATCAAATGAATCGATCTGCTTTTGAAGTTGTTAGCAAGGAGCCAGCTCAGTGCTGTGAGGTGTTGGAGGGTGTCTGCCAAAAATGATTTTGGTTTCAAAGCAATTGTGATTTGGAGGCATTTATTTTTTGACAACAGTTCAATAGCAGGGCTACTGGTATATGGAGAACATTCCAGGCACATGAAAATAAACCTTCATCAGGAATATTATAGGAAGATGCCCTTCTGTCTGTTCACTGTATCAGGACAACCTGCAGCTAGCTTATCCTTCAACTAGCTTAGAATGGTGTAAAGGCAGGAAAATACTGAATTAAAACAACAACAACAACAACAACAACAACAACAACAACAACAACCAGATCTCTATTTTATCCCCGCTTGAACCATTATTTGATTCAACAAGAGATTTTTCTCTCCATGTGTCTTGCTTCTCTCAAGGGGATTAAGATGACCATCCTATATACATATAACTCACTGAGTGAAGAGGGAGACTTTATGATGAGGTCTGATAGCTCAGTTTGGGAAATTTGATTTTAAAGGAGCCACTAAAAGGAGAAAGGGAATAGTTATATGGACCAAACAAAGTTATCTCACCCAGCTAAAGACAGCCAGAAGGATAAAAAGGAGATTGAGGAGGAAATAATTATAAAAACTGCAGAGAGCACCTGTACCGTTGGTGCAGGGAGACTGGGTCAGAGGACCCAGAGGGGGTCCTGCAGGACCAGCAAAGAGGGTCCTTGGCTTCATGCAGGATGGAAATCAGATGTGAGCCAGCAGGAGTCAAAAGCAGAGTCTCTTGAAGAAATATAGAAAGAGATACAGACGGAGCATCTGGGAGACTTGGAAAAGAGAAGGAGCACGAGTCTCATCTCTGTTTGGGGTCTGGGGGTTTTATTAT